TCTTCGCAAACTTGAGACAACCTTTATTCCATAACATTACGAGAATTCTGGAATATCGGTAGGAAGCCTGTCTTGAGAGCGGAGCAGCTCATTTAGAACATGTTTTAAAGTGTCAATAATATGTTTTTTTAACAATAAAATAAATACAAGTTCAGTACTGTTTATTTTGGGCTACATTGTATTTTTATGATGCCTTATTAACACTATATGGCATATAGCAAATCGACATATTAACAATAAGATAAAATCAATAATTTATAAACCAGTATAAGATCAAGAAAGCCATCGGAAACAAAATCCGGCATAACAAAAAAATTAGAATTTTCATTCTAACCTTGTTTCGGAATATACTAAACGGAAATAAGTCGGGAGTTCCGAGACTCTCACTCACTATTTACCTTTTGTTTACTACCATATTTTGCATTTAATTTTCTTTAATGATTTTTATTGATGGCTGGTTGTTATTATAGTTCAAATAGTGTGCTGAATCCGGTACTGGTTCGAGCGAGTTTTTTCGATTTTTTGCAGATAACCGATAAAGGATGTTAAGCATTTCTTCCCATTATTAGTCTTGTGTCCCCTCTTGAGATATGTTTTCTTTCTCTGTTTATCAGACCACCGAGTTCTACACCACACACACAGAGTAATTCTTCGGATTAAAGCCACCCATGATATACTTTTCCTTTGAACTTATAATTTGTCCAAAATGTGAAATTCAGGTGATGCCTTACTCCACGAACGGCGTGTAGGGAATTGGGAGATAACTTGCCTCTTGGGGACCATATTGAGGGTTTCTGTTTAATATTACAATTTTTTATCTCGACTTTCTCATTACTTAAATGAATTGTACGGATCAAACCAATTTCTGTATTTATCTTACCGCAACTGAAAGTTTAATTATGTTTCTCGTACTTTTAATACTGATTTTGGATGTAATTTGACGTTGACAAAAAATATATATACTTCCTTCGTAATCGATGATATTAGTACAGGAGATATTAAAACAAGTCTTTCGCAGTTTTTCAAAAAAACGTCTAGAGCGAACGCTATATTATTTTATTTATATCTATTTTCTATAGAATACACCTATCTAATAGAGGTATATTTCTGTAAAATTATACAAAAATGGACATTTTAAAAAAGTCTCCATTTTGGATAATTTTACAGGTTTAATACAATTTACTTTGCAAAAAGTCGTATAAGTAATGGATTGGTCGTACATGACGGAAATTGATTTTATCTAACGATAAAACACTGAAAATTTTTGTTTTCAAAACTTCCACAAAATTTATTACAATTTATTATCACTACAACTACTGTTTCGGCAGAGTGCCTCTTTAGGTGAGGCTATTTTTGGTATGCATTTACCCTTTTAGTCTAGTTGAGAAGCGAAAAATTGTTTGTCTCAAGTTAGTCATTCAGAATTATGTCTGTATTTTTTAAATTGTTAATAGATTTTCATAAAGATAGTTTAATGCATTTATTTTGAATGTGAATAATTTGAAATTGGTCATTAAAAGAATGATTATGATTTAGAAGGTGAAGTGCAACAGATTGCAATCCTGAAACAAATTTTGGAAAAAACCACTAGAATAATGAATTCCGAGTGTGTGGGAATTCCGAGTTATAGTTTATTTTTATGAACGAGAGAGTAATTAGCATAATTTTAACTGGTACCTCCGACCACTCCATGGGCGTGCTCAAGATTAATTGAAAAAATTACTTTGAATAATTGTAAAAAATAAATGAATCATTTCAGTGTTATAAAGTGTTATGTGTATGTAAACAAAAGTGACCTCTTTTATCACACACTATATTAAAACTGACTGGCCTACATTAAAAAGGGTTTTAAAAAATCCACATTTTTTTTAATTTTTAAAAATTACAAAAGAGAAAAAGAGTTTTTAAAACCGTCTAAGGTATGTTAAATAGATGAATAAAAATATTAATATAAAACTTACAGCTACTTGTTACAAATCCAAATCAGATTCAGAAGATGAACTTTCAGAACCAAGATTTATAATAACTGGCTCGATCATTTTATCAGTAATATTGTCCAGCTTCCACATTTTTTTCCTCTTCTTTAATAGTGTGATTTACTGCCTTTTCCCAGTTTTTCAGGTTTTACATTATTTACGGCCTCCAAAAACAACTGTTTAACATCATGAATTTTAAAAGTGGTATTTTTTCTTGAAACTTCACTCTTTATTTGTGCCCATACCAGTTCAATCGGGTTTAATTCACAATGATATGGTGGGGATCTAAGTACTGTCATTCCACGATTTTTGGCAATTTCATCAATTTCGTATTTTTAAAATTTTTCTTTATGAAGGGCACACAACGAATAAAGTTCCTTTCTTATAGATCCGGGATGGTACGTAATATTTTTTGAACTCAGCCAATTCTGCAAGTCTTTTTTTAACCACTTGGTTGTGGGCAGTCCTTCTATAAGTCTGGAGTGATAACTTGCATTATCCATTACTATTACACAGTTCTTAGGAAGAAGATCTATCATTTGTTCGAACCATTCTTGAAAGACATCAGCGTTCATGTCTTCATGGTAGTCACCGGTACGAGTTGATTCAAAAGTTAATAAACCACCTTCAACAAAACCGTCTGAACTGCCAATGTGTACTATTATCAGCCTGCGTCCCTTTCCTGATGGTGGGTTTAAACCAGTAGATAAGTTATTTACAAAAGCGTGCTTTTGACTTTTCATCCTGCCAAAATTTATTTGGTGTATGACCCTCGTTGATCCATGTTTCATCAAGATAAAATATTTTTCTTTTTTGGTTTCTCATTTCCTTTATGGTTCTTAGAAAATGTCTTCTCCATATGACAATATCGCTTCTTTCTAATAAAATAGACTTTCTGGGATTCTTTTTCCAGCGGAAGCCTATTTCTTTAAAAGTTTCCATAACGTATTTCCACTCATTTCTGGGTAATCCTTATCATCTCGAACTGAGACAAGAACTTTATCCAATGTTGGAAATTCTTGTCTAAAGAAGAATTCATGCACTTTCCGTCGAAGTCCTTCTTTAAAATGATATTCTATTTGAAATTTTGGTTTCCCTGGAGCATTACGTGGCATTTGAAAACTACCACATTTCTCTTCTTTAATAACTCTGTAAATCGTAGATTTCCCAACACCAAGTGTACTGCTAACTAACTCAACGGTCTCATCAACACTTTCACATAAACGTTTGTCTGTAAATGATTTAAAACAATTAAATATTAATGTTTTTTCATTAACTGTTAAAGGACCAGTTTTTCGGCGTTTACACAGCACTTCCAAATTTTCCATAACACTAGTATACACAATAAACTGCACCTTGAAGTTCCTACTTTTAGTGAACTGTTAAGATTTTTGAATACGCCACTTGGACCTTCCTACAAAATGGAAAAACCCACTATCACATTTTCTGTGGAATAAGTTTAGAAGGTAATTATCTAGTCAATTACTGTCGTAGATTCCTGGAATTAAAGAATTAAATGTTTGATTGTTGAAACCCTTACTTCGTGGAATGCACTCATTTCAGATAAAATAAAACGTTTTATTTTATCTAAAGAATTAAACTTTATTTTGCAAATAGGTAGGTACTTATTAAACTTTTATTGGTTATATATAACCAATAAAATAAACATCTTACATTTCTTGCAAATTCATTAGTACCTGTTAACCTCCATCACTCCGACACTGGCAACCTTATTTAGGGATTAGTAACCCTCACAACTATTGTATTCTATTCTGCTCCAACCTTTATACCTGGTGGTCATACTCGATTTAAAATTGTTTTCCTATATACTTCTGTAAACTTGTTGACAAATATCTGTTTTTCATTGAGTCACCCGTATCAACAGTTTAGGGATTTGCATACATAATTTATTGTTTTATTACTCTCTCATACATAAAAATACACTATAGCAACTCTACCCATGAAAGAGCTAGGAATGCCAAATCAGTTGGTGAATTTAAGAAAACTAACTCTTGAAAGTACTTACACAGTGGAGTATACAAAGTTAAATGTGGCGACTGCCCAAAAATTTACATCGGTCAAACTGGTAGAACTTTTAACAAACAGATAGCAGAACACAACAGGGCTTTTAATAATAAAAACCAGATTCTAGATTAGTGGAATATATGGAAATTAAAAAATTAAAAAATACAGACATAATTCAGAATGACCAACTTCAGACAAACAGTTCTCCCCTGCGCCATTTATTCAGTTGAAGCCTATAGACTGTAAACGCATACAAAAAATAGATCACTTAAAAGAAAGGTACTCTACCGAAACAGGTGTAGTGATAATAAACAATAATGAATTTTGTGCAAGTTTTAAAAAGAAAAGTTTTCAATGTTTTAGTGTTAAATAAGTTGTATACTGCTTTTGTATTTAATGTATAGTGTAAGGTCAACCCCCACTGGAAAATTAGTTTCAGTAGTCATTTTCCAGTGTTAGTAATTTCTAGTAGTCTTTCAAATGTTAGTATATCGACTTCTTTCTACATATCTATATTCTTGAGCAACGAATTTGTTTTTAAAGGGGTAGTCTATCTACTAGACCTTTTCACACTGCGAGCTGAAGGATATTTTGTCTATACCTTACATCTATGTGCAGCCTACCAGATCTAGGCTTCTAAGAAAGCCTAATATGCGTTTAGAAGAGATATTTGTTATATGGTCAGGCATAAAAAGAGCTGTTCCATGATACTGTTCGAGACAATGTTCTCAAATAATTTAAAAGGTATTGGTCATTATATGATTTTGACGTATGTACTTTTGATATCATTTTAAGCCTCCAAAATTAATTTTTAGTACATATTTTTCAATCCAAATTAATACTCAAATTTCAGCGTTTTTAACAGTTAAGACGAGAAAAACACAAAGCAGAAAGCAGTTTTATCATATTTCAATTAAGGTAAACATCTGAAGTTTGAACATTGAAAAGAAATCGTTAGACACAAATATACATACCTAATTAAAAACATTTGTCACTTACCGACTATGTAGAACCCTCAAAGATTTCGGTGACATACAGTTAACGCTCCAGTCAGTGTTGCCATGATCATTGCAGATGGTGATGGAAAACCTCCCATAATTTGCTCTTATTAACTTGATGAGCTCACCGTCCTTGCATTCTATCTTGAGAATCTTGCCTTCACAGGCGTAGGCAGTCTCGTATCGAATTTCTGCAAAAAAAAGATTTAGTTAGAATTGTATCACACTAAAATTTAATTAAGTTTTCTATTATATGAATATATGAAAATATCATTATACTGCAGCCAATTGGCTTATTGAACATCTTTCATTTATTCATAAATACCCATTCCAGAACATTCTGGAATATTGTAAAACCCTGTACAAGTCTAGAGGATGGGTACTATATGTTTTTGGAATCACTTGATAGTGTCCAAAAAGTGTTGCAAACAAGTTATGTAAAATTTAGTTGTCTGGTTCTCTGCCTTAGAGTCAGAGTCTCGAGCTGATTCCTGCTTGTTTTTAACAGAATTTTTAACTAATCCTATAAACGTATGTCTGTCCAAAGTACATTTTACCATATGCTTGATCTGTTCGGATCCAAGCTTTTTCCGGTAGCGGGTAGTACTTTTTGGTACTTCTACGGTCGGTTCTGGACCCTAAGACATGGCACCAAGTGCCATGTGAAACTGTTATGTTCAATCAGTCCATCGAGTTCTTCTTGGCATTCCCCCAGAAGCCTAAAGACTACATTAGAGCTTCTAAAAGCCCCCATAACCACTGGAGTATCTATGTCTACATTTATCCGCTTTGGTTTAAACATTCCCATGTTAATTTCTCTGGAATACTGCAAGATTGGGTTTGTACCATTTAAGTTATAAACAACACCATGATTGAACGTATGAATAAAGATCTGGAAATTATGCGTATCGTGAAAATCAGAAAGATGACATACTTAGGGCATGTGATGCGCAATAAGAAGTATCAACTAATTTTACAAGGCAAGATATAAGGCAAAAGATCTCAAGGGCGCAGAAGGACATCGTGGTTGAAGAACATCAGACAGTGGGCAGGAATGACTACCATACATCTATTTAGAGCAGCTGTCCACAAAGTTCTATGGATCAACGTGATTACCAACCTGGACTTTAACAAAAAGCAATGAAAACATGTTAGTATGTTTCGAAAGAAAAATACTAAGGCGAATCTATGAAGCGGTAAATGAAAATGGTGTCTGGAGAAGACGATACAACTTCGAACACTATAGAATATACCAGGAATAATATCGGAACAGAAGAAATAGATATCGTAAAACACATTAAGATAGGACATAGAAACGCTTCTTGATAGACCTATTGGGCAAAGAAGAAGAGGAAGACCCAGAACAAGATTCTTAGATAACATAGACCAAGATAATGAGAAATATGGAAATACGTGCTTGGCGGAGGAAGGCTATGGATAGGGACGACTGGAAGAGAATTCTTTGGGAGGCTAGGACCCACACAGGGTTGTAAAGCCAAAATGATGATGATGAATCAGCTAATTTGGTTTTTGCCACCCGTTACTCTATAAATCAGGCCATTTAGAACAAAAAACACCCAAATAAATCGAATAATTGTTATGCTTAAAATAAAGGTAGGCTAATTGATATGCTCCTAGATACGTTTAAAACCACTGGAATTTCTTCGAGTCAGAGCGAAGGGGATGTAGATGTTGGTATAGTTTTAAAAGCAGTAGATATTGCTACAGGTTACAACAAAGTTGTAATTGTCTCTGAGGATACAGACATCCTCGTTCTACTTGTAACTCTGACTCCCGAAAATTTAGAAATTTATATGTTGAAACCATCTACGCAAAAAAGTGGAAGCTGTATACTATCCCAAAAGTCTTACTCTCAGTCACTCGCGCTATTTAGCTCACAAGTTAATGGGAAATGCTCAAATAACCAAAGTTATATAGCGTTGATATGTACTTTCGCACCATGGGTGGTTGTTACCCCTCTCGGGGGTTGAAATTCTTTGGCTCAAAATAATTACTGGAATCGATAGAGGATAAGTTTAAGCAACTTTTGTTCTATAAAGTTTTTTCAGAAACGCAATACTGTTTGAGTCATTTATGGTTGAAAACAACAAATTTTCATTGAAAAAGTCACGTTTTTAACGGTTTTTCATGAACAACTCAAAAAAAGTCTTTGATTGAAAAGTATGCGCAACAAAAATGAAGCTTAGAAAATACGAATGAGATTTATTTTTTAAAAGATATTCTAAATACAATACGAAATAAGATATGGTCTCTGAAAGGAGACATTTTTTTCGAATATTTGGATTAATGTATTCGAAGTTAAATTGTAAGAAAAGGGTTGATTTTTCGGTGTAATGACATAAAAGTTTTTATAGTCTATGAAAAGACATTTAAAATGAGCATTACAAAAAGTCATCTGCATGTAAACTGCGTAAGTTACTGCTCGTAAAAATAGAATCTTCCAATATTTTAAGAAAAAAAAAGGCGGTATAATTAACCTAATATCCACCAGAATAAAAATTAATCGTTTTTCTTCTACATTACATTTTATTTTAGTGTTCTTCAATAGATCTATGAGTTTGACTAGTATAAAATCTATTACTATAAAAAAACTCGATTAAATTGTATTGTCTATTTGGAAAATTTCCAAAAAAAATGTTATTATTTTTTAAATATCTTAAAAACTATAATATGTACGTAAAAATGATACAGTACAAAAATGTAGTTTTTTTTCAGTACATATTCTCGTGTTTTATAAACTTCTGTATCGTAAAAAACAATGAAGATATCACTATCACGGATTAAAATGTATGTCTTGGTGTGAACGCCCCCTGTTTCGTGTGCTACAAACCGTAATTTTTCAAAATTGAAGGGTAGTTTGGCTTTCTAATAAACCTAACCTTGTAGCCCTTAAAAATGGTTTCAAATGGCCGTTTTTCAGCTGTAGACTTTTTTCTTGACGTCATCCCGAACACAATGCAAAAATTTGCAAGTTGATAGGTGTTACATTTAAAATCGATTTATTTTTCCGAAATGCCCTGGTCTACTAATATGATTCACGTCACTCATAACATGGATCCTTCTGGTGATATTTTATTTTTTCTATTCCATACTTACTTGAATATCAATTATAATTACAATACAAATTTACTTTTATGGATCTAGTTATAGTACAAATTTTCATTATAATTCAACTCACACAATCCAACTGCGACGTTAATAATAAGATATCTTTAGATATTTAAGTTATTTATACTTTAGACTAATGGTAGTAGGTATATGGTAATTTAACTTTATCTACTCCTCTAAGAGCATCGAACCCCTATAGTGAAGGATTCCTTCATGCTGATTGGTAGTCGCAAATTCTGTGACGTGGCCACTACTTAATGGAAGCTAAAGACGACTTAACTCCGACAACACCCAGGTTACATTGGTCTTCTTCCGGCATGGTCATTCTGCGGAGTAAATCATCAATTTCCTTCACGTGGCTTCAAAGCTTTCCACAGCTTCACGTGGGACAAAGATAGATCGAGAACAAACAAAAAGGCAAAGAAAGAAGAAAACAATGTCTAGTCATTAGAAGATTATGACAATCAATCTTAATAAAGATTATACTTCTAAAGATGAAAACCTTTACACAAAGAAGCTCGACAGCAGACGATAAAGTCTATCCGAAACGCCACATACATATATTTACGGTATATACAAAACATCATACAGGTTGCAGTACGCGGAAAAAAGAACCTTTATCTCTACAATGTACAAACTGTATCTAAACCAGATAGAGCACGCAGTGTCATCTTCTTCTTTTCTTCTTCCTTCTCGTATGTAGGCTTCAAAGATTGTTTCTTCTTCAATATTAGCCTCCTAAATTGTTTAAATTGTCGCACCATCTTTTTCTTGGTCTTCCAATACTTCGTTGTCCATTTGGTGACTTATCTCGTGCTATTCGTACTATTCTATCCTCTGCCATTCTACTGATGTGTTCGTTCCACTTCTGTTTTCGTTTTGTCACCCATTCATTTATGTCTTCTATATTGCATGCTCTTCTTATGTTTTCGCTTCTCTCCCTATCCAACAGACTTTGCCCTGATATTCGTCGGAGTATTTTCATCTCTGTTGTTTATAGTTGTCGTCTCGTTTTAGATGTGTCATGTCTTGTCCCCACCGTGTATGTTAATATAGGTCTAATTGCTGCTTTATAGATTCTTGTTTTTGTGTGTTCTTTTGTGAAGAGATCCCGCCGCTTTACTTGTTAAATGTCAAAGAAAATGATTCTTCTTCAAGTGCCGTCTTCGTTCCGAAGTTTGGCTATCATCAAAGCTATGCGTATTTTTGATGCTGCAGATCTAAACAGTTGGTAATTGGTGCAATTGTACCATTCTCTCAAGTTTTCAACCATGAATGCCTTCTTCTTCCTATAGATCTCTTTCCCATTATCTTTCTCTGTATAATCAATTGCAGCAACTGGTATTTATCTCCCCTCATAACATGTCCCAAATATTGTAGTTTGCGCTTTTTAATAGTAAGTATCAGCTCTTTCTCTTTCCGCACTCTCCGCAAAACCTCCACATTTGTTACTTTCTCTGTCCAGGGTATTCTTAATATTCTACGATACATCCACAACTCAAATGCTTCTATCTTTTTGGTATCGATCTTTTTCAATGTCCATGTTTCCATCCCGTAGAGGAGAACTGACATAACGTAACATCTCAAAAGGCGAATTTTAAGTTTTAGACTTAGATCTCTTCCGCAGAACACCTTTTTCAATTTAGTACATGTGGCTCTAGCTTTCTCTATTATGGTTCTAATTTCTTCAGAGCAATCATTATTTTCGTTGATAACAGTTCCCAGATAATTATATCTTCTTACACGTTCTATTCTTTGATCATGCACGGTTATGTCAGGGAAGTTTTGTGGTAATTTAGATATTAGCATTATTTTTGTTTTGCTTATGTTAAGTGATAATCAGTGTTCTTCACTGCATTCTACTATTTTGTTAATTAGTATTTGAAGATCTTCCCAAGTTTCTGCGATTAGTACCGTGTCATCGGCATATCTCAAGTTGTTTATTCGGATGCCATTTATCTTAATACTTATATTTTGATCCGAAAGTGCTGTGTTTATAATGTCTTCGGAGTATAGATTGAATAAGGTCGGTGAGAGTATACAACCCTGTCTTACGCCTTTC